CTTGGCCTGTGATTCCGAAGGAGAGCGCGTTCTCTTCCTGGACGCGGGCACCTTCCGCCTGACGGGCACGCGCAAATTTCCGAGAAAGAGGCAGCTACAGAGCTTCTTGGCCGCAGCCGAGACTTGTCTTGACTGCCAAACGCTGCTGGAGCTCCACAACCTGCTGTCGTACGGGGAGGACCCTGACATTGTGGCGCGTCGGGTTGCCAATGTGCTGAGCCGCAGTTTTCGGCTCGGCTCGGCGCCCGCCCACCCGAACCCGCGGGCGCCGCCCTCGCCCCCCGCGGCGGACGAGGACCTGCGCGATGAGGCTGTGTCTGAACACACTTCTGGGCTACTCGGTTTGCGGTGGAGACCTGCTCTTAGAAAGAAGCTCTCGAGGGAGCAAGAGGACGTGGCGCGGTCAGTCTTTTTCGACTCGGTCGAAGCCGCCCACCGCGTGCCCGACATGCACGCCGCGGAGTATAACGCTCTCTCTGGCATCTCCGCTGCCTCTAGCGCGCCCGCTGCTTCTGGCGCGTCCGCTGCCTCTGGCGCGTCCGCCGCCCCTGCTGCCGCAGCTGCTGCGGTCGCTGCTCCTGCGCCAACTCCTGCGCCAGCTCCTGCGCCAGCTCCTGCGCCACTCCCGCCGCCTGCTCCTGCGCCAGCTCCTGCGCCGGCCAGCGTGAGCGGCGGCGGCCGCGCCGCTACTCCACCAGGACCAGTCGCGCCGCGGCCTGCGCCGCTGGTGTGGCCGCCGCAGGCGGCGCCAAAGGTTAATGCGAAGAAGGCGCCGCTTCTTCAGCTGCATGAGAAGGCGGCGCCGCCGCCTGCCACGACTTCAAAGAAGAACAGCACCGCTGCCTCTGGCGCGCGTGGAGAAAAGCCACCCGCTGTTTTGGTTACGCATGCATGGGCGAGGGCCAGCTCGCCGCCGCCGCCGCCGCCGGCCGCCAGCTGGCCAGCAGATTCGGCGACGACGTGGCCTCAATTGCGGCCGTCGCCGCCGCGCCATCCTCCCCGAGACGTGCCAGAGCCGACGCCGCCAGGGCAGCTTCCCCTGACTCCCGCGCCTGCTCCTGCCGCCGCGCCGCCCCTGCCTGCCTCTGGCGGCTATCCGGCGCCTTCGGCAGCGACGGCCTTGGGCCCGCTGCCTTGGCCTCCGCCTGCCTTGGCCAGTGCGATTGCGGCGCCTCCGCCTGCCTTGGCCAGCGCGATCGCGGCGCCTCCGCCCGCTGCAACAGGGAGCGCGCATCCGCCCCCTCCAGCTCCCGAGCTGGGCAGCTCGTCTTTCGATGAGGGCGTCGACGGCGACGCGAGCGAGTAGGCCGCCACGATGCGACGGGGGAGACAATTCGAGCCCTCCGAAGAGCGGCGGAGCAGAATGCGCTCCAGAAGCATGCAGGGACCGACGGAGGAGGATGTTGCTTCCTCTAGCTCATCAGAGGACGAGCGGGAGGACGCTGCTTCTGGCGCGCCCGGGCATGCTGTCTCTGGCGCAACAGAGGAAGTGAGCCTGACGACCTCGTCTCTCTGAGAGGAAGCGCAGACGTTTGCCCGACGAACGCAAGGCCGAGCTTCGCAGCGTCGTCCGAACGTGTGCCAGGCAGCAGCACTTCGTCGACAACAAGGAGCGTTGGTAAACCGACGCCCAAGCTCGCGTCCGAGACTGGCAGATGCCGCAGCTCGAGGACAGAAACGCCCTCCGCACGCAGAGAAAACTCGACTTTTGGTGCGACCCGATCCCTACATGGAGGCAGTTTCTCGAAGGCGTCCCCCACCGAAACGACAACCCAGATAACGCAGGGCAGCCGTGGCCCGTCGCGCGCGCGTTGGCCCCCAACAAGCAACACTACAGGTGGCGGCTGTGGCAGGAGCTGCGGGGCCCTGACGCTGCCCCTGGCGCGCCCTTCGCCGAGGCACGCCCGAACGCCGTGCTCGGCGACGGGCGGGCGGCGCCGACGCCAGACGCCTTCGAGGCATCGAAGCGCAAAGCAGGGATTCCCGACGACGAGTCCTACGTCGAGCACGTCCTCGAGAAGCACAGCGGCGAGGCGCGGCGCTGGGGGGGGGGCCCAGGTGGAGGGGCGTGCCTTCTGAATTCGTGGACAATCTCGGCCGCGTCAGGTTCTGGCATCACCAGTACGCCACGAGCGAAAAGGCGCGTGATTACCTGGCCTGGAAGAACGCTGGCAGGGATGCGGATTTCCTGCCTCTGGCGGAGATGAAGTGGATCCTGGACGTGGATGGTGGCGAGACCGCGCTTCTGAAGTGCGTCGAAGACGACTCTGCCTCTGGCGAGACGTGGTACATCAGGACAGGACAACTCGTGACGCTGGCGGAGATGTTCAGCTTCGGGTGCCGCTTTTGCCCGTGCCACTGCCTGTGCACGTCGTGCCTCCGACAACCGATATTCGCGACGAGGAAGGGGCGCGGCGAGTCGTAGACGGCGGGGGCTACTCTCAAGAAGAATGCTCGGCGCTTGCGCTATCAGGGGACAGGGCGCCGGGGCCTGCCCCGGCGCCGAAGGTGAGGGCGTGGCGCTGCTGAGTACTTGCCTCTGGCGCTTCTTTCCTTGCAGGACCCTCTGAAGAGCTGCCTCTGGCGCTTGCTGACTTTTGCGCGCAGCGCGTCGCTGCTTTCGCGGCTGCCCGTCGGCCGCGCTTCAGCGCGCGATCACGCCTGCCTGCGCGCGGGCAATGGCGGCGGCGAGTTCGATCCGTCGCGGGTTTCCCGCGACAAGTTGCGGCGGCGCGACGAGCGCGCGCTCGAGACGTTCAACAAGCTTTTGGCGCCTGCGGGGCTGAAGGATTTCCTCGACAGACACTCCGACGAATTCGCCTGGCGCGAGAAGGCCGACAACAAGGGCATGCTCATCACATGGGCGAACTGGGCGTGGCAGGAGGAGCGCGTCCCGCCATGGGCGCGCCCCGCCATGGGCGAAGTGGTCGCAGGCGCTGCCTCTGGCGTGCCCCGCCGTGGCGAGCGCGCCCCAACGCGAAGTGGCCCCAGGAAGCGGCCTGAAGCGGCCGAAGGGCGCCCGCCAACTGAACGCCCTCAGGAAGCGGCCTCAGGAAGCGGCCAGAATGCACTGCCTCTGGCGTGCCCCGACAATTCACCGCCCTCAGGAAGCGGGCAGAATAAGAGCAACCTTTGGGAAGACATTCGCTAGGAGATGATTGCCCGAGACACTGCCTCTGGCGTGGCCGAGCCACTGCCTCTGGCGCGCCCGCGACGCTGCCTCTGGCGCGCTTTCTGAGGCCAAGGCGGCGTCGCGGCAGCTGGCGCCGCGACACCTGCGAGCGGAAAAACTAGTCGTCGTCATCACCACCATCGTAGTCGCCATCATGACCACCGACATCACGAGCGCAATCAGCGACACCATGGCCACCGACATCATGACCATCGTCGTCATGACCACCGTCATCATGACCACCGTCATCATGACCATCGTCATCATGACCACCGACATCAATGGCATCATCAGCGCCACCGTCATCATCATCATCATCATCATCAGCATTACCATCATCACGCCAAGTTCGCATACTATTAGCGCTGCGGGTTCTTAATATGATGTTCGACCCCTTGGTGGACCAGGCAGCCGCCGCCTGCATCGTTTGCCTTAGCGCGCGGCTTGGGCTGAGACGGTGCGAAGCTACGGCGCTCCGCATAGGCGGCGAACAAACCAACAAACACACACGCACACGCACGCACGCACGCACACACACACACACACACACACGCGCACACACGCACACACGCACACACATGTTTTTTACGTCGGCGGCTGGGCAAACCTGCTGCTTCGGCGATGTGCCACACACACAAGCACACACACGCACGTACGCACGCACGTACACACACACACGAACACGCACACGCACACGCACACACACACACACACACACACACACACACACGCACACACACACACACACACACACACACACACACACACACACACTGGGAAGGCATATGGCGGGGACGCGCATCAACAAACCGAGTGCCTTTGGTCAGGGTGCCCTGGGTTTCTTCGCCCCGCGCGCTGCGCGGTGACTTCCAGCGGCCGTGGAAGGAACTGTGGCGTTCCTGGCGTTTTGGGTTTCTCCCCCCTTGCACCTCGCGCCTGTGGGTTGTTTTTAGGGCTTGGTTTCTTGTGAGGGGTTCTTGTGGCCGCATTTTCATTGTAAGAGAAGGCAGCTCTGGCGCGAACGCACCTCGCTTGTCCGCCCCCCCCCTCCTTCCAGCTTGCTGCTCGTCCCGCGCGGCACGCACAGTGGAGACCCATGCCAAGAAACACCCTGATTTGCCTCAAGGGTGCCCCGGGTTTCTTGGGTTTCGGCGGCTTTGCTGTGGCAAGCGTGAAATTCCCACACCAAAGATCAGTGGACGTGTTGGGTCTCTTGTGGGAGGTTCCTTGTGGACTGGCCTCCACGGAATCCAGACACGTCAGCTTCGAGAGAGGCCACGGCCTCGCCCACCTGGCCTGAGCCAGGCCCCCGACGCTGCCCGCAACGGGGGCTCGGGGGCGGCCCATTACCGACCCCTTGCAAAAACCGTTCCTTGCCGCCCCAGAGATCCGAGGATCTGATCCTTTCGATCTGGCGTTCCTGTTCCTGGATTCCGGCTCCCGGGGCCCGCGCTCGGGCCCGGGAGCATCAAGAATGGATCCGGCCGGGGCGGAAAGCCACGCTCGGGGCCGCGGATGAAAACAATCATATCGGCGGATGTCTGGTTTCCGTGGCGCCCCCCTCGCCTCGCCCCAAGACGCGTGCGTGCGGCCGGAGGGAAGTTTGAGAGGCGAGGGGGACGACACAGAAGGGGATGGTCGGACGGGGCCAGGACGAGGATAGATCCGTTCCAGTGCGGTCGGGGACGTTTTCAGAGCATTTCAGGACGCTCTGAGAAGGCCGCGGCGCCCGAGACGTCCCCCAGAGCCGCCGGATCTCAGAGACTCTCGATCTGTCCTCACCCGTTTTGATCCTCGTCCTGGCTTCGCCTTCGACGGTTTGCCACAGGCGTCTGCGAGGCCGCCCCCGAGAGGTCGCATCGCAACGCGCCCCCTCCGCCGCTGCCGCGATGGCATCCGTGGCCGCAGCGCTGCGGGCGGGCCCTGGCCGGGCGGCCCCGCGCGCGCGCGGGGGCAGCACCGCCGTGCGGGGCCAGGGCGCCACGACCGCGGCGTTCTGGGGCAGGCTGAGGGCGGCGCAGGAGCCCCATGGGCCCCCGAGCCGTCCCCCCCCCCCTCCGCCCCCAGAAGAGGGCGGGTGCAGGGAGGGAGAAGAGGGGGGAAGGGGAGAGGAGGACGCAGGGGGGCGACGACGACGACGACGACGACGACGACGACGACGACGACGACGACGACGACGACGGCGACGGCGACGGCGACGGCGACGGCGACGGCGACGGCGACGGCGACGGCGACGGCGACGGCGACGGCGACGACGACGGCGACGACGACGGCGACGACGACGACGACGACGACGACGACGACGACGACGACGGCGACGGCGACGGCGACGGCGACGGCGACGGCGACGGCGACGGCGACGGCGACGGCGACGGCGACGACGACGGCGACGACGACGGCGACGGCGACGACGACGACGGCGACGACGACGACGGCGACGGCGACGGGAGGAGAATCCCCTGACCCCAAGGCAACATGGTCCTCCAATATTTTTGCGCCCCTTCCCAGTCTGAGTCGAACTTCCGATCCAATCCGTCGAGCCCCTTCCAGGTCCCAGTCCGAGTCGAATCCACTTCCACTTCCAAGTCCTCTGCAATCCAACCTTCTCGGACTGACCCAGTCGCACTCTGCGGCGCTGAGGATCCTCGCAGAAGCAGAGGCTACCCAAGTTGAGAGACAAGTTGGTCGCCCGGTTGCCCCACTGCAGCAGCGATAAGCCGCCAGCGTCTTTGAGCCTCCGGGGAGGCGGGTCGACATGCGACCGAGTGGCGAGGCCGAAGAGTGATCCGCCCTCTCCGACCCCTTTACATGATATTCTGCCCTCCATTTCTCTTGCACGCTTTCTCTTGCTTCTGTCTGGGTCTCCTTAAATGAGGTCGGAGCAGATGGGATCGGAGGATCGCGCCGCATCGCCGATGCATCGGCGATGTGGCTCGATGTGGAGCCCAATTCTCCACGACGGCGTCGCCGATGCACCGCCGACGTCGCCGATGCGTCGGCGACGTCGGCGCGATCCTCCGACCCCATCGCCTTGAACCCCGTCTGGGAGGCCTCCTATGTTGGCAGGCGGCACGGGCGTGCCCAGGCTCATGCAGGCGCCCCGCCCCGACAACGCCAGCGCCGAAACAAACATAACGCAGGCTCCTTGCGATTTCGGGGAGAGAGGCGTCGGGAAAGCATGCCACTGGGTTCCCCCGTACTTGTAAAGCTGCTAGCGAGGAGGAGAAGGAGGAGGAAGGGGGAGGAGGAGGAGGAGGGGAGGGGGAGGAGGCGGAGGAGGAGGAGGAGGAGGCGGACGAGGAGGAGGAGGAGGAGGAGGAGGAGGAGGAGGAGGAGGAAGGGGAAGGAGGAGGAGGAGGAGGAGGAGGAGGAGGAGGAGGGGAGGCGAGGAGGAGAAGGAGGAGGAGGAGGCGGGGGAGGAGGAGGAGGAGGAGGAGAGGAGGAGGAGGAGGAGGAGGAGGAGGAGGAGGGCCCCGCGGGCGCAACACGTCACGCCACCGGGCCCCTCTCCCTGCCCCCCCCCCGTCCGCACACGGGGCCCGCTGCGCGGGAGGGGTCTAAGCTGAAGTCGGGCCTGTCCCTCTACAGGGGGAATATTCAAAATGGTCAAAACTTGTCTGGGGAGGTGTTTTTTGACCATGTTTGAGTCTGTTAGGGCATTGTTTGACTATGTTTTATTTTTCGTCCAAAATCCCCCTGTAGGGGGACAGGCCCGACTTCAGTCTAAGCGCGGGCCCGAGGCGCAGAAGACGGTGCCGCGCGTGGTCGGCTCGGGCCAGGGATCCCACCTCGAGATCGGGGGGAGGCCGTACCTGAACTTCTGCTCCAGCCACTATCTGGGTTTCGCCGAGGAGCCCCGCCTGAAGAAGGCCGCCCAGGACGCCATCGAGAAGTACGGGCTGGGGACCGGCTATCGCACCCTGTCGGGCACTCACGCGCTGCACGTCGAGCTCGAGGAGAAGCTTGCGCGGTTCAAGGGAACGGAGGCTGCCGTGTGCTTCTCTAGTGCCTACGCGGCCAACGCGTCCGCGGTTCAGACGATCTTGGGCAAGGAGGACATCGTGGTCAGCGACCAGCTGAATCACGCGTCCATCATCGACGCTGTGAGGGTGGCTGGAGTGCAAAACAAGTTTGCGTATGCGCACTCCGACATGAGCGACCTAGAATCAAAATTGATCGCTGCAGCAGAGCTTCAAAAGAAGCCCAAGTCGAACGGAGAGCACCCCCTCATTTTAATCATCACAGACGGTGTGTTTTCAATGGATGGAGATTTGGCCAAGCTGCCCAAGATTGTTGAGCTGGCGAAGAAGTACGATGCTCTCACGATGGTGGATGACGCCCACGGAGAGGGCGTGCTGGGCAGAGGTGGGCGGGGCATCGTGAATCACTTTGGGCTCGAGGGCGAGGTGGACATCGAGATCGGCAGCTTGTCCAAAGCGTTCTCCGTCATGGGCGGCTTCATTGCTGCAAAGCAGCCCCTGATCGACTGCTACCTCATGCAAGCTCGCCAGCGGCTGTTCTCGATTGCGCTGACCATCCCAGACACTGCTGCATTGCTGGAAGCCGTGAACATGCTGGGCGAGTCGGAGCACCTCGTGCAGAAGTTGTGGGGGAATGTTGCGTACTTGCGCAAGGGATTTACTGATCTGGGATTTGATATAGGCCATTCCGAGACACCCATCATCCCTGTCATGCTCGGCGATGAGGATCGCGCAAAGCAGTTCAGCGCGAGGCTGTTCGAGGAGGGCGTCTTTGCCTCTGCAATTTGTTTCCCAATGGTTCCCAGGGGCACGGCAAGAGTCCGTGTCATTGTTTCGGCCAGCTTCAGCAAGGACGATTGCGATGCTGGCTTGGCAGCATTCGAGAAGGTTGCTGCAGAAGTCCTGCGGTAAGCACGCCGAGCCGCACTGCAGTGCCAGCCCTGATTGGCGGCGCCGACAAGGAGGCGGCGGGAGGGGGGCGGCCTTCGAACAAGGCGGAGGGGCTTCTTGGAAGGCAGGGGCCGCTGCAGAAGGCCCCAGAGACTTGCAAGAAGGCGCCTCAGAAGCCGGGCGGGCTTCTTACGAGGCCCCACCGCCTCCTCCTCCTCCTCCTCCTCCTCCTCCTCCTCCTCCTCCTCCTCCTCCTCCTTAGAAGCCCCCACCCCCCGCGCGCCGCCGACTTGTGGGCGCCGCTGGCCCCAGTCTCCAGCACGCTACAGCTCCTGCGGCTGCCTCTCGATCGCCCGCGCCAGCCGCGCGCGACGGGCTCCCCGGACCCCCGACGCCGCGGCCTCTCGCGACGCGGACCCCCTCGGAGGTCTCGACCCCTCCCCGGGGGCCGGCCTCTCGATCCCGGGCATGCTTACGTCGGGCTTGTCCTCCTACATCAAGCAGTGGCGAAGCGTCCTGGCGTGCCTACAGCCCTATCAAAGAATGTTCTAAGAACCGTTTGTGGTTTTCACGAAATGTTCGTAGAACATTTCTGTTGTAACACATCGGGTTCATGTTCTAAGATCATTGTTTTTGTTCTCAGAGCCTTTCTGGGTTCTAAGAACACTTCGTGGTAGGACTATGTAATGCCAGGTCGGTCGGTCCCTGCTCAATTACAGGAGGGAGGGAAATCCCAAAATAGTCGCAAAAAGTAGTGCGGGGACGATGTTTTCACTACTTCTGAATAGTTTTGAGCATCTGTTGGCTATGTTCAAGTTCGTTTCCGTCCACAATCCCCCTGTAGGCAGACATGCCCGACCTAACGGTATGGGGGGCGGCCAGGGGGGGGTGATGGCTTGGGTGGCGTGGACATCTTGGCCGGGTACATGATGTCTCTCCAGACTGCGAAGGCCTTACGGTCGGTGCCGCCGACCCTGAAGGGAGACGACGACGACAACGACGACGACGACGACGACGACAATGACGACGACAACGACAACGACGACGACGACGAAGACGACGACGACGAGGACGACGACGACGACGACGACGACGACGCAGACATCGGCGGCAACGACGACGACGACGACGACGACGACGCCGACGCTGACGTGGACCAGAGTCCCCAGGGATGCTTCTTGGGGTCTCTTCGGAATGCTCTCGGGGGGCTCTGGGGAGGAATGTTTGGGCCTCTTGGGCGCCTCTTGGGAGCCTCTTGGGGGCCTCTTCGAGCTTCCTGGGGACCTCTTGTGAGCGTCTTGTGGCCTCTTGGGAACCTCTTGGGGCCTTCTGGGAGCCTCTCGGGGCCGAGGGCTCGAAATGTCCATTCGGGTGAACCGTCTTGGGGGCCTCTTGGGCCGTCTTGGAGGCATCTGGGGCTGTCTTGGGATCCTCTTGGGATGTTTAGGGGCCCTCTCGAAAGCCTCTTAAGCCGTCTCGGGGCGATCTTGGGAGCCTCTTGCGCCGCCTTGAAGCGGCGGGAAGTGGAAAAGGCGTGAACGCCCAAACCTTGTAAACAACCAACAGGATATCAATTGATTTGGCCTCTGTGGGTCCTCTCCGGAGTGCTCTTGGAGGCTTCTTGGGGCGTCATGGAGGCCTCCTGGGCAGTCTGGAGGGCGTGAGGGCGTGAAGGCGTTTTGGACCGATCGTTTGGCGATTGGGGGCCCTCTTGGACCGTCTCGGGGGCCTCTTGGTGCACTCTTGGCTGAGGCCCGGGGACCTCAGGAGAGGGATGTGCATCTGAACCCCCCACCCCCGGGATCCCCCCCCTACCCCCCCCTACCCGCCCCGGGACCTACCCACCCCCCCGAAGGAGGAGGGACTCGATTACGACTTTGCTAGGTTTTTCTCTCGCTAACAGGCTTGAGGAGGAGGCTGCAAGGAACGTGGACGACGGAGACGACGACTGACGGAGACGACGGCTCGAGCAGTCAAGCTCCTCACACACGCCGACAGGGTCGGCGGATTTCGCGGCCCCCTCGTCTTCTTTCAACACGGTCGAAGGTCCCAGACTTACTCATGATGTATCTCCCCAGGCTCCATGGCAGGGACGCAGGGCATTTCCTCGTCGGCACGGGGCTTTCGCCTGAGCGGGGCATGCGCCCTTGACGAAAAGCGGCGACGGGCACGCGGATGGCCAGGGGCCATCCGTGGCGCTGGGGTGTCGGGGTCGTCGCTGCAGCACTGCGCGCCGCTGTTGGACCTGGGGGCCCCGCGCGGCTCGCAGTAGTAGCATCATCCAGTCCACGCGCCCGCCCCGTCGGATATTTGGGACGACGCTCGCGCGGCGATGCCCCGCCGCAAGTATGGCGCGAAGCCAACGCGTATGTCCGACGTGATTCCGACGTGGATCCGACGTGAGTCGGGTCCCGCGCTGCCGCGCGAGGCTTCCAGGATGCTCCTCTCAACGTAGCCTCTGCCCTTTGGGGGGGGGCCCAGCGGCGCTGTTCAGAGCGTGAATCACCTACCCCGCTTTCGCTTCCAGACAACAAGTCAAGCGGCCTGACTGGTGCGGGCCGTAGCCTGGTACCGTGCAGTATCTTTTGGAAGCGAGGGTGGTCAAAAGCGAGGTGGGTTCGTCTGCCTCCTAGTTGTGACCACGCCGCGTGGCGAGTCCGTGGGGGTCTGGCCCGGGTGGCCGCACGGCTCGGGGACGTCGACTCGGGGCGTGCTCCCGAGGGCGTCGTCTCGGGCGACACCAGGGCCTCCAGGGCCCCCCCAAAAAGTTCTTGCCGTGGCGGACACCGTGCGGCGAGGCCGTCGGGGAGTCCGCGGCCACCGGGCGGTGATCGAAGACGGGAAAACGCCATCAGCAGAAATTTGCGGCGCTCCGCGCGGATGTCTTGGTTCCGCGTTTGGCTCTCCCGGCGGCGCCTCCGGCGCCGCCCCTGGCGCGCTCCGCGCGCCAGGGAGGGTGCTCCAGCGCAGGTCCAAGAAATCCGCGCGGACCGCCGAAAGCTTATGCTTGTGCCATTTTTGTTTCCCTCCAGGTGAGGTCGTCGGGGATTCCGCAGCCACCGCACGGTCCGTCACCGCACGGTGTTTGGGGGCCCCGATGACCTTCTCCTCCTCGCCCCCTCTCCCTGCTCCAGGACAGGTCTGCGCTGCGCCGCGACCTGGCCCCCTCGGCCGGGGCCGGTGGTCGCGCGTGGGCACGTGGAGGAATGCTCCGTGCCCGCGTGGACGCGGAAGGGCGCCCCCGCCCGCAGGCGCCGCTGGCGCCATGTTGCTCCGCTTGCCGCGGGCATGAAAATCATCACCATCATCATCATCCTCATCATCATCATCATCCTCATCATCATCATCATCATCATCATCATCATCATCATCAGCATCAGCATCAGCATCAGCATCAGCATCATCATCATCATCATCATCATCATCATCATCAGCACCGTCATCATCATCACCACCACCACCATCATCATCATCATCATCATCATCATCATCATCATGATCATCATCATCATCCGCAGCAGCATCACCATCAGCAGCATCATTATCAGCATCAGCATCATCATAGATCAGCATCACCATCGATCGTCATCAGCATAAGCATCACCAATATATATATATACATACATACATATTGTAGTGGCCTTCGGCCAGTGCCGCCGATCTGGGGCGCTCCGACTGATGTGATCCTTCTTCGCCCTCGTCCTTCCTCTCTTTTTCCCTCCCCTCCTCTCACTCAGCATTTATCGAAGACGCCTACGGCGAATCACCGCCGCCCCCTGCCCTTTCGGAAGCGCCGATGCGGCCGACTGCTGTGGCCAGAGGTCTGCCAAGTTATTGGGCCATATGTTCCCCGAATCGGTCTTTACAGCCTTCGGGGAACACGTGGGGGAGGACGGGGAGGAGAGGAGAGATAGGAAGGGGGGGAATGGAGGAGGAGGTCTCTTGAGTGCCTTTTTGGCTACTCTGGGTTTATATTGGGCCACATGTGCGGTCTTGGAAGCATCTTGGGGGCCTCTTTGGATGCCTTGCGGCCTTCCTGTTCTGCCTGACGCCGTCTGGGCTGGGTTGGGGACCTCTCTGTGGCCTCACTTGGGTTTATCGTGGCCGTAGTGGACGCCAGCGTGGGCGTTTGGGAGATCTGCCGGGCCGTCTTGGGGCTGTCTTTGGGGCCGTTTTGGGGCTTTCTTGTGCCGTCTAGGGGCGTTCTTGGAGGCCTCTTGGACTGTTCTGGGGCGCTCTTGGAGGCTTATTGGGATGTCGCGGAGTTTTGGGGACCTCATGGGCCGTCTGGGGCCGTCGGAGAGCTGAAAAGGAGAACATGCCAAAATCCTTCAAAAACATGTGGAAAATCAATGATTTTAACCTATTCGGGCCTTCCTGGAGGGCGTCTTGGAGGCTCTTGGGCCGTCTTGGAGGCCTTTTGCGGGCCTTTTGGGCCGTCTTAGACCATCTTGAGGCCATCTTGGGCCGTCTTGGGTGCATCTTGGAGCCATCTTACCCGTCTTGGAGGCCATCTTGGCTGTCTTGGAGGCATCTTGGAGGCCATCTTGGGCCATCTTGGCCGTCTTGGAGGCCATCTTGGGCGTCTTGGAGGCCTCTTGGGCCGTCTTGAGGCCCTCTTGGGGCCTTCTTGGGGGCCTCTTGGGCCGTCATGGGGCCATCTTGGAGGCCTCTTGGGTGCTGTTGGGGCGATGTTGGGGACCTCTTGGGCCGTCTTGGGCCGTCGGAGAGCTGAAAAGAAGAACATGCCAAAATCCTTGAAAAACCTAAGGAAAATCAATGATTTTAACCTATTCGGGCCTTCCTGGAGGGCGTCTTGGAGGGCTCTTGGGCCGTCTTGGAGGCCTTTTGCGGGCCTTTTGGGCCGTCTTAGACCATCTTGAGGCCATCTTGGGCCGTCTTGGGTGCATCTTGGAGCCATCTTACCCGTCTTGGAGGCCATCTTGGCCGTCTTGGAAGCATCTTGGAGGCCATCTTGGGCCATCTTGGCCGTCTTGGAGGCCATCTTGGGCCAAGTTGGGGCAACAAAGGCATTGACAGATGGATTTTCGGAAACTTGCGGGTGGCCGGCGGGACGGGCCGAAGCCCACTGGGGAGTTCTTTTAGAAAAAGAACCAAAACCAAAACCTGAAACATCCAGCACGCCGTGCACCCCTGTGGCAAGACCACAGGGGGCGGCGGATCCAGTGGCCGTCGGCCTATCCCGCCACCGTGCGTGGGTGGTGGGTCAGAGGCCTCATGGATGCTGGTTGGGATCTCGTGGTTGGCTGGGACTTCTGGGGGCCTCTTGGGCGCCTCTTGGGGCTTCTTGGGGGCCTCTTGGGCCTCTTGGGGCCACTAGAGGGCCTCTTGGGGGTCTCTTGGGAGCCTCTTGGGGCTTCTTGGGGGCCTCTTCTGCGCCCCTTGGGGCCTCTTGGAGGCCTCCTCGGAGCCTCTTGGTGCGGGAGGGGTGGTACTCGAGTTCGGAACCCCCTCGGAGGCCACGATCCTTGTGAGGGGTGTCAAAAAACGCATCCGCCGGAAACTCGCCCCCCCCCCCACCCCCCCCTTCCCCCCCTCCCCCAGCAGAGCCACCCCGGCAACCCCCCAGAGGCTGAGGCTCAGCCTCGAGGCTGTAGCTGAGACTCCTTGAAACTCACACGCCGGATCGGCGGATATATATATATATATATATATATATATATATGATCATCATCGTCTTCATAATCGTCATTCTCATCATCAACAACAACATGATCATCATCGTCCGCATCATTACCATCACAGTGTTTTGGCGATTTCGTGGACCGCTGTTGCTTTGGTTCCATTCTGAAACAACGGCAGAGCGAAGACAGCACGAGGGACAATGAAAGCAGCACGAACACGGAAAGCAGCGTTTTTTGGCTGGTCCCGACCGTCCCTTCTTCTTCAATCAGCGTCCTGACCAAAAACATCTCAATCATCACCCCGCCACCACCACCATCATCAACATCCTCCTCATCAGTATCGTTATCATCATCAGCAGCATCATCACCATCATCATCAGCATCAGCATCAACATCATCACCATCATCATAATTGTCATCAACATCATCGCCAGCAGCATTATCAGCAGCAGCATCATCGTCATCCTCATCATCCTCATCATCTTCATCATCATCATAATCATCCTCATCCTCATCCTCCTCATCCTCATCCTCATCATCATCATCATCATCATCATCATCATCATCATCATCATCATCAGTATCGTCAGCATCAACATCAGCATCGTCATCATCTTCAGTATCATCATCAGAATCAGCATCATCATCGTCCTCATCATCAGCATCATCGTCATCGTCATCGTCGTCGGCGTCGGCGCTCCAGCGGCTCCGTGTGCTGTCAGACGTGGTCCTGGCCCAGGGTGTCCCCAGCCTGCCCCTCCTCGCCTCCTCGCCCTTTCTCCTGGCCCATGGCCCAAGCCCGTCTCGACCTTCTCCTCATGGCCTCCTCGCCGCCCCAAGCTGCTCCTCGTAAGTCGGGATACTCAAAAAGAATCAAACAATAGTCTGGGGACGACTTTTCGACTATTTTTAGCTGCTTTTGAACATGTTTTGCCTATCTCGCACTTTTCGCCTAAAGTCCGCCTGCAGGAGGACATGCCCGACCTAATGCTCCTTCTCGCCTCCTCGCCTCCTGGCCGCCAGCCCGTCTCGACCCTCTCCTCACTGGCCTCGCCCTGCGCCAGGACAGGCAAGGCCAGGCCTGCGCGCAGCGCCGCGGCCCGGTCCCTGGCCGAGGCCGCCGGCCGGGCCGAGCCTTAGGTCGGGCCTGCCGGACGGCGGACTACTCAAAGACAGTTCCAAAAATAGTCTGAGACGATGTTTGGGCTATGTTTGAAGATTTCTGCACATGTTTCAATTATTTGTCCTTTCTCTACCAAAGTCCGCCTGTAGGAGGACATGGCCGACCTAAGCCGAGCCCTGTATGCGGCGTGCGGGGGTTGCGCGCGCCCGCGGGCCCGCGGCCCGCGCGGGCTCCGTGCGATCCGAGCTCCGCTCCGAGCGCGCTGGCTGCTCGGGTGCTGCTGCAGCACATGGGCTCGCGTCGCGTCGACGCGGCGGCGACCCTGGCGCGGGCGCTCAAGGGGGGAACACCGCCGGTGGCGCAGAATCGGCCATAGAGCGGTCCAATGGCCGCCGACCGTTCAATCGAGCAGTGGCGAAGTGTCCTGGCTCGCCGGTAGGCCCGCCGGAGAGTGTTCTGAGGGCCCTTCGTGGTTTGCACTGAGAGTTCTTGGAAAGTTTCTGGCTGAGTCTGTCTTGTTTTGTTTCAACACATCGGACTTATGTTCTAAGAACATTGTTTTTGTTCAGACAAGCGACCCGTCCAAGACTCGAACCTAGAATCTCCGGCTCCGAGAACCGATGCCGCATCCATTAGGCCAATTTGCCAGTGATGGGCAGCTGATGCCAGCTTCGAGCGATCCGAGCTCCGCTTCGAGGATGAGCCCTGGTAGCCTCGGCTCCACGAAAGGCTGGCATCCTCGCGCTGTGAGGAAATAGCGACGGGAGTTCTACAATCAGTGCTTGCACTTTGGGTTTCTCACTTACGGCGCCACTGGCCCTCCATCCTTCTAGCTGCCGGAGGTCACTTAGTTCCCCAAGCAGTGCTTCCACTGAATGGTTCCTACTTGCACGGATGGCCGCACCTAGCCGCCTCGTGGCCGCCTCGTTGCTGCCCACGTGGGGGGTCCGCCGAGGCTTCGCCGCGCCGCCGCCCATGGACAGGGGTACGGCGCGCGGGGTGCGCACCTGCGCGCCCGCGGGGCCACGCGGGCTTCGAGCGATCTGGGCTCCGCTTCGATGATGACCTCTGGTTCGGTAGTATATCACCCACCTCACCACCCCAACCCAACCCAGAGGCCTCAAGTTTCCCTCCATTCCCAGTGGGGAAGGGGGGTCGGGAAACATTGAGAACACACACCTGAAGCCCGTGCCCCCCCCCCCAACCCGAAATTCGGGTCTTCGGGTTGGCTTGGGGTGGTCTGGGTCTGGTAGGTCGTCAGTATACCACGGAAGGTTCCGCTCGTTCTGGACTGAACGTGTGTCGGCAAATCGGGCGTAACAGTAGTGCTCAACAGCACCAAATGGCGGCAAGTGGCGCCGAACAGCGTTCAACTAGCGTTCAGATAGCGACGAACAGCGCCCAATCGCGCCATGCGAGGGAGATGCATTACGTCTGCTTGGCGCGGGATTGCGTGCGCTAGTGGGTGCCATGGGAACGACCCACAGCCTCCGTGAGTTGCTTTCTAACTCTGGTAGCATCTGCTCCATGAGAGGTTGGCATCCTCGCGCGGTGAAAACAAACAACGGCGGAGGGTCTTTGGCAAGTCTCGGCCCCGGCGGGCCTCCACCAGCCCCCCTGGCCCGCCCAAACAACTGCCGGGAGTGCAGAGCAGGTCCCGTGGCACGGATCCAGCCCTCCGGCTCGGCGGCGCGCAGACGGGGGGGCCGGGGAGAGGGGGAAGGCTTCTTGGCTTCTTCGAAACACCCCCGCTTCATAGAAAGCGCGGGCCTTGTCTGTGGGTGTAGGGCCTTCGCCCTCTATGGAGCGGCCTGCTTCTGCGAAGCCTTTCCCCCTCCCAAAATTATGTACCCCTTCTTGCGCGCCGCCAGCCGGCGGCCCACGTCGCGAAGCGATCACGACGTCGGACGTCTGGGTAGGCCAGGGGCCCCCGTCTCCCCTCCTTCTTAAACGCCTCGTCCGCGCGCGCGCCCAGCGGCCACCGCGGGGCCAGGCGTGGGAGCGAGAGCAAGCCCGATGCCGCCCTACCCTGCGCGGCGCCCTTGCGGGCGCACGGGTGCCACTTGTGCCGCCGCACCCAGCCTCCATTCCACCTCCTGCGTGCGCGCGCGCCCCGCAGCCCTCCATGCCCTACGGCTTCGGCGTCCCCGGAATGCACATGCCAGGCAGCTGCGCTGGCCGCCGCTGCGGGCCCCCCAGGGGCCTCTCGCCTCGGGGCGGGGGCGGTCGCCCGCTGGAGAGGGGAGGAGGGGGAGGGGGAGGGGGACAAGCTGGGTGCGCTCGCGTCATATCTGACATCCTACCCCTCCCTCCCATCCCTTACCATGGCGCAGATCCCCTCTCTACTCGCACAGTCGGATGTCGAGCAGGGCAATGATCCCGAAAGGGTACGCGATGCATTGTAGAGCACGGCATGGCATGGCGTAGAAGAGCACCGCAAAGCGTAGTATCAACCTAGCATTGCATTGCATGCCGTGGCATGGCACGGGAAATGACGCCAGCGCTGCAGCGGGAGCACGAGTCGAAACGAGCGGAAGCGCGGAAATGAGGCCAGCGCTGCAGCGGGAGCACGATTCGGAACGAGCGGAAGCACGGAAATGATGTCAGCGCTGCAGCTGGAGCACGATTCGGAACGAGCGGGGCCCGAAAATGAGGCCGGCGCCTCCGCGAGAGCAGCATTTTGGGAAAACATGCAGGCGAAAACCCAACTCCGGGGAAACCTGTGTGTAAAGAAACAGTACGCGGGGGGGGGTCGAGTACTTTCAAACCGTCATCAGGGGAAGAGGGAGAATAGTATTCCTATTGAGTAATTGTGGAGGAGGAGGAGGAGGAGGAGGAGGAGGAGGAGGAGGAGAGGAAGAGAGGGAGGAGGAGGAGGAGGAGGAGGAGGGAGGGGAGGAGGGAGGAGGAGGAGGAGGAGGGGGAGGGGAGGAGGAGGAGGAGAGAAGAAGTGGGAGAGGAGAGGAGGAGAGGAGGAGGAGGAGAGGAGGAGGGGGAGGAGGGAGGAGGGAGGAGGGGGAGGAGGGGGGAGAGGAGAGAGGGAGGGGGAGGAGGAGGTGGGGGGAGGTGGGAGGAGGAGGCGGAGGGGAGGGGGAGGAGGGAGAAGGGGAGGGAGGAGGAGGAGGAGGAAGGCGTCCTAGGCGTAGGGTGCCTGTCTTCCGGGAGTCCTGTGCGCTCCGCCGCGCTGCCCGTCGCCCCTCTCGCGACTTGGGCTCCCAGTTCTCACCATCAGGAGGACACTTAGCCATCGAGGAGGAGGAGGAGGAGGAGGAGGAGGAGGAGGAGGAGGGCACCCGAACCGCCATTTAGCCATCGAACCATGCCGGCAGCGCCCAGGATGGCCTTGGCAGTGCATGGTGATGGTGGTGCGCAGGTGCCTCGTGCGTATTCTTCGAAGACAGAGCCCCAGCCTCCAGCAGTCCTTCCTGGAAGACTCCGCGCCCTTCTGAGTAGGCTCCTGCCCTCTTATACAAGCGCCCCCCGCCTTTGAGAAGAAGGCCATCCCCTCGTGCCGCCCACCATGGCAGGAGAACAGCGGGTTCAACTGCGCGGACCTTCGCGCGGAAGTTGCCCGCGCAAGGTCGCTCGTGAGCGCCCTCGTTCCCGACGCAGCGCGCCGCGCCTGCGACCCACGTGCGCCACAGCGCAAGGCCGAGACGTCATCGTGCGCAGGACCCGCTCCTTCTCGGCGCCCACTTGGTGGGTGCCGCCGGAGCCCTCTCCCGCCCCCCGTGCCCCGACGCCGGCCTCGGCACGCCCGCCCACCCGAGGGCTTCCGCTGCAGAGGCCGCCGAACTTCAACATGATCGCCGAGGCCGCGCGGGACGCAGCCAGTGCGCCCCCCGCCCCCTCCCCCGCCCGCGGCCGGCCGGTGTGCACCGTGACGCGTTGGCTCGGAGGCGACGACGGAGGCGGGCAGCCCAGGGGCGGGCCCTTGCACGTATTCGCCGGGGCCTCTCGCCGAGGGCATGGACCATCGGCGCCTCTGAATACACGTATGGCCCTCCCCTGGGCTATTCGCCCCCGAGGCGCCTCGCGAGACGTCGCAGATCCTCGGCCCGGGAATGGGGCGGTGCATAGGTCATTGAGGATAAAGGAGAACCCCTAACCCTGATAACACGATGGAGACGTGGCCTCACTGAGGTCCCCGTCTTCGCATTAGGGATCATAAATCTGGGCAGTTTGGTTCGATGCACCTGCAGAAAATTACCTCCTGCCCCTAATGTTCCAGGCCCTCCTAACTTTGGCCCCCTCCCAAAAGGTTAGGGGTCCTTATGTGCCTAATCAACAGGTCTTCGGCCCACAGGGAGGCAACAAGATGCGCCGTACTCACCACCCACCAAGCCGCCCCAGCCCAGCCCGAAGGACCCACTGTGCCCTCCATTCCCAGTTGGGCGGGGGGGGCGTCCGGGAGCATCGGAAAAGCACATGTGGAACCCGTACCCCCCCCCCCCCCCCAATCCGACATTTGGGCCTTTGGGCTGTGCTGGGGGGGTCTGGTAGGTCGTCACGCCCTGTGCTGGAGCTGGGCCTGATGGTCCGGTGCATGGGCGCCGTTCTCGCACCCCGCCCGCGCAGCCTGGCCAGGGGGGGCACGGGCAGGCTCGCAGGTGCCTTTCTTTTGCCGTCGGCGGCGAGGCAGAGGCAGTCCGTACCAGCGTGGGGCTCATCGGGGCAGCCGAAAGGCGAATCGTCCGGCGGGCAAGAGGAAGGATCGAAGACGAGGGCGGCCGCGCAGGCTCGCAGATACAGGCGCCCCGTGCAGGAAGAGGTTGATCCTCGGAGGAGGAAGAGGTACTGGTGCTGCTACCCTTGACTCGTCTAGGGCCACCACGAGGGTGTGAAGTCTCGGCGCGAAAACGCGAAGATGGTTGCCCTGAACTCGTTTTCGCCTTTTGGGGGGCCTCCTGGGAAGCCCCCGTCGCCACGGCTGGGTTTGCCTCGAAACTCAGGTCAGAACGCAGCCCAGGAGAGGTCTGGGGAGTACGGCAGGTTCGCGTCGTGTCGACCAGCGGCGACCCCAGCGCGGGCGTTTAGGGTTGAACGCCACCTGTGGCCCAGAATCGGCCCATCCTTAAACGATCCAGTCTCTTTGAAAGGGCCGATCGTTCAAGTTTGAACGATCCCCGCGGTTTCAGGAACCATGCCAAGAAACACCCTGCTTGCCTCCAGGGTGCCCTGGGTTTCTTTGGTTTCGATGGGTTTGCTATGGAAAGCGTGACGCTCCCACACCAAAAATCAATGGACGTCCTGGGGTCTCAGGGTTGGGTGTCTTTTGGAAGGTTTCTTGTGGTCGGGGCCCTACTTTAGGATGAACCATCAAGCAAGCCGCAATTACACCTCTCGATGTTTCGGCATGTCTTGCCAGATGTCTGTTTCTTGGGTCACAGGGTGCCTTGTTGCGTTCTGGGTGCCTTGCGTTCTGGTGCTCCACCTCTCTGTCTGGCTGTGCCTGTACATGTATTCCGCGTGACAGCGACCGCAAGCCATATATATATATATATATATATATATATATATATATACATATATATATACATACATATACATATATAACTAAAACTATAACTATAAGTATAACGATCACTATGCATTTATAGTGTGTATATATATAGTTGTATATCGGAGTAAACCGGGGGAGGGCCCAGAACCACGACCCTTGGCTTGCATGGCGGTCCGGGGGGGCTTGAGGGCTCCAAGGGGGCCCAGAAGGGGCCCCAGACCCCCCCAAGAGGCCCCCAAGCTGCCCCAAGAGGCTCCCAAAGAGCCACAGGTTGTCTGGAAAATGGCCGAAGAGCGCACTGAGATGGCCTCAAGACGGCCCACGAGCGCTCGGAGACAGCTCAAGACTGCTCCCAGACAGCCACTAAGGTCTTCAAGACGGTCCAAGAGGCCGCCAAGAAGGCCCCCCAAGGGGAAACATCAAACATTTCCGATGGAAGAACATTTATTTCTGGGATATGCGCTTTTTCAACCCTAACAGCGGCCACGACGGCCCCGAAGCCCCACAATCGGCCCCAGACGGCCCAAGATTGACACGTGGAGGTCTTCCCCCAACGGAGCTTGTTTTTAGCGATTCTTGCTCCGTCGAAGAGGCATTGGGCCGGGGCCTCGATTCGGCTGCTTGTTGTCGCCGTCGCCGCCCCCGCCGCCGCCTCGTTGCCGCCCGTGGCTTGGGCCGGGGCCTCGGTTCGGCCGGCCCGTCGTCGCCGTCGCCGCCCCCGTCGCCGCCCCGCTGTCTCAACAGGCCGCACGCCTCCGCCTCGCGGTGTCGCGCCATTACGTCGGGCCTGTCCCTCTACAGGGGGAATTTTCAAAAATAGACAAGACAAATACTCTGGGGACCATTTTTGTAGTATTTTGACGATATTGGAAGATTGAGTATCTTCTATCTTTCTATCTGCGAGCCCAGCAGGGGCGGGCGCGCAGGGCCGTGGCCGCCGCCCAGCGGCGTGCCGAGAGCGGGGGCCGCGCGCCACGCCGGGGGGCCTGGCTGCCGCCCAGCACGGCGCCGTGCGGGCCGCGCCGCACGGCGTGCCGCGGCCCAGCAGGGCGGCGAGCGCGCCGAGGGCTCCCGGCAGGTCGAGCATCGCGGGGGGCGGCGGGCGCGGGCGCGCCCCTGCGTCGCCCGCCCCGGCGCGGAGCGGCGGTCCTCGCGCGGCCGCAGGGCGAGGAGGGGGAGGGGCGGCCAAGGGGGAAGGGGCGGAGGGGCGGCCGCCGACGCCAGCGATGCGAGCCTGATCGATGGCGACCTCGAGGAGGAGGAGCAGGACGACGAGGACGAGGAGGAGGAGCAGGAGGAACATCTAACTTGACACATCGCAGCGCAGAGGCTAAGACAGGGAGGGGGAGGGGAGGGCGACCTCGAGGAGGAGGAGGAGGAGGCGGAGGAGGAGGAGGAGGAGGAGGAGGAGGAGCAGGATTTGGTTAGACACATCTCAGCGCAGAGGCAAAGGCAGGGAGGGGAAGGGGAAGCGACCAGGGAGGGGAGGTGATCCAGCGGCGGAGCCCCCCGCCCCCGTCGAGGCCGAGCGGGGCCGGCCTCCCCAGCGGCATCTCTCCCAGTCGCGGCCCGCACGGCACAGCGGAGGAGGGGAGCAGCATCGCTCCCGCCGCAGCAGCCAATGTCGCAGTACAGAGGGGGCCCATGCCAAGAAACACCCCGCTTGTCTCCAGGATGCCCTTGGTTTCTTGGGGTCCGATGGTTCTGCGATGGAGATCGTGACGCTCCCACACCAAAAATCAATGGACGTCCTGGGGTGTTAGGGTTGGATTTCTTATGGAATGTTTCTTGTGGTCGAGCCCCTACTGTAGGCCTCCATCATCTGGGCGGACACCTGCCCGAAATGAAGCAACCCGTCGAGGAGCCTGTCTACGACCGTGTGGCTGTGGAGCGCCACCTCCAGGCCGTCCCGCTTCACCACCGCGAGCAGCTTCTCGCCGGTGGGCGTCAGGCTGGCGTTCTTTCGGGGCTCAAGAGACGGGGGTCAATGCAAACGGGTATCAGTCAGAGCGCCGTATCTTGCAGGATCCTGCATAGCCAGGGTCGCATTAACCCAAGCTTGGGCGCAGGCAGGATCTTCCAGAATCTTGCAGGGCCAGACCCTGATTTGGGTGCAGGATCCTGCAGGCCTGACTGACCCGGGTCTGGATTGAACCGGGTCAGCGGATCCCCGATGCTTCAAGCCGTCTTTTTGAACCCCACCCTTCAGCAAACCGCTTTGGAGCCAAGATGGCTACGGGGGAGGAGGAGGAGGAGGAGGAGGAGGAGGAGGAGGAGGAGGAGGAGGCGGAGGCGGAGGCGGAGGCGGAGGCGGAGGGCGGAGGCGGAGGCGGAGGCGGAGGAGGGGACGGAGGAAAAGGCGGAGGAGAGGAGGAGGAGGAGTGGAAAAGGAGGAATGGCAGGAGAAGGAGGCGGAGGAGGAGGAGGAGGAAGAGGAGGAGGCGCAGGAGGAGGAGAAGGAGGAGTAGGAGGAGGAGGAGGAGAAGCAGAGGGAGGAGGAGGCGAAGGAGGACGGCGATGACAACGGCGGCGGCGACGGCGACGACGGCGGCGACGACGGCGACGACGAGCCCACGGCTCGCCCAGGCGCCGCCGCGATGGCCGCAGCGGCGGCCGGGAGCCCCGAGGTCGACGGGTCGCCGGGCCGCTCGCCCCTGGAAGAGGCGGACCCGCCCGCGGCTGTCGGCGTCGGCGGTCGGCGGCGGCGGCGTCGGCGTCGGCGTCGGCGTCCGCGTCGGCGTCGGCGCCGGCGTCGTCGTCGTCGTCGTCCTCTGTCCTCCTCCTCTTCCTCTTCCTCCCTCCTCCTCCTCTCCTCCTCCTCCTTCCTCTCCTCCTCCTCCTTCCGCTTTTCCTCCTCTTTCTCCTCCCCCTGGAGGCGGCGGCCGCGCGCGGCTGTTGGCGTCGTCGTCGGTGTCGTCGGGAGCTCCGTCGTCAAACGAACGCACGAACGAACGCACGAGCGATCGGGGGCTGGTGCGGCCTGGACTCAATTGTTGACGCTTCGCGAATCCCCACCAGTTGGCGGTAGGTTCTGACTCCAGGCTCGGCCGCTGTGCTCTTAGGCTCGCGCGTTGCTAATTTGACAGGCCCGTGGCCCAGACCTCTCAGCTCGGCGACTGCGATTCCGCGTCCGCCCGCGACCCAAAAAAATAACCCCCACCAGCCCATCCAGAAACGATGCCCCGAGGAATTGCCTCGATCAGGGAAGTGGGCAGCACACAGAGGAAGCCATTATGAGACATCTTGGGATATCTTGAGCCATCTTGGAGGTCATTTTGGGCTCTCCCAGGCGCTCTTGGAGTAATACGTATCAGTGCCCCCCTCAAGAGGCCAACATGTGGCTAAAACCTCCGTAGAATCAATGGTTTGGCATTCTCGCCGAGGCCTCTTGGAGCATCTTGGGTGCCTCTAGGGGGTCTCTTGGGGCCTCTTGGGGGTCTCTTGGGGGCCTCCTGGGGGCCTCTTGGGGGCCTCTTGGGCCCATCTTGGGGCCATCTTGGGACCTCTTGGGGCCTCCTGGGCGCTTCTTGGGGCCATCTTGGAGGAGATCGATCAAACAAGAGGGGAGCATGAATTAGCGTCCCCCTCCGAGGAGGCCAGAATTTGGCCAACACCTTAATAACACCAGTGATTTTGGTTTCCTCGCCGAGGCCGTTTGGGACGCTTCGACACCTCGCGGGTTCCTTTGTCCAGGTCCAGTGGAGGGGGTAGGGGGAGGGGTCAACCCCTCCCCGAAGGGGAAGAAGGAGGGGTGGAAGAGGAAACTCCCTAAACCACCGACGCCCAGAGGGCTGGTGGAATTGGATGGATGGATGAGGGAGTGGGGAGAAGGAGGATGAAGAGGAAAAAAAAAAGGAGCAAGCAAAAGGGCCAGAGGTCTCTTGGATGCTTCTCGGAGCCCCTTGGGGTATCTATTGGGCGTCTTGGGACATATTGGGGATCTTTTGGCGGTCGTGGGGGGCTCTTCGGCGTCTTGGGTGCCTCGGGGGGGCCTCCTTGGGCCGCTTGGGATCATTTTGGGGGCTTTCTGGGGGCCTCTTGGGGGGGCATCTTGGGGCAATCTTGGGACCTCTTGGGGCCTCCTGGGCGCTTCGTGGGGCCATCTTGGAGGATATCGATCAAACAAGATGGGAGCCTTAATTCGGGCCCCCCCCCTCAGGAGGCCAAAATGGGGCCAAAACCATAGTAAAACCAATGATTTTGGCTTCCTCGCCGAGGCCGTCTTGGACGCTCCGACACCTCGCGGGTTCCCTTGTCCAGGTCCAGTGGAGGGGGCAGGGTGAGGGGTCAAGACCCCCTCCCCGCAAGCCGTCTCGCTCACTCCCACCCGCCCTCCCAACACATACGTAGCACCCGAGTCTGGCCCGAGCCTCAGCATATTCAGCAGTCGTCTTTGGATGGGCAGCTACTTGGGGCCAATCCGCCGCCGCCGACTCCGCCGCCGCCGCCGCCGCCGCCGCCGCCGCCACCGCCCCCCGCTGCCAAACCGCCGCCGCCGCCGCAGCCGCTGCCGCCGCCGCCGCCGCCGCCGCCGCCGCCGCCGCCGCCGCCGCCCCCGCCGCCGCCGCCGCCGCCGCCGCCGCAGCCGCCGCAGCCGCCGCCGCCGCCAAGTGTACTCTGTATTGTTTTGTTGACAGGGATGGTGGGGGGCCCGCATCGGGTTGGCTGCGCATGCTCTGAATTTGGAGGCAGAGTGCGTTTTGTATTGTTTTTTTGGCCCTGGTTGGCCCCCAGTCGCCTGGGGGAGGGGGTGTTTATTAATAGGGAACAGTGATAAACCCCTCTCCGAAGGGGAAGAAGGAGGGGTGGAAGGGGAAACTCCCTAAACCACCGACGCCCAAAGGGCTGGTGGGATTAGGGTACCATCCTTACGGTTGGTGCCGCAAGGATAGCATGCGATGTGGTGTTGGTGGCTCCCGGATTGCACGTTATCCCCCACATTGGGGATAGCGTGCACGGAGGAAGCGACGTGGCACGCTATACCCGAACCGATTTGCACGCTATCCCACACATGTTTTCGACAAGACACGCTCAACGCGGAAATTGTCGTTCGGATCATTCATTTTGCGGGATAACGTGTTTTTTTGTTGATCGGCGTTGCACGCTATCTTTGCGACGCCAACCGGTAAAACCTCTGCGAGTCTGCAGGCGAAATGCCCATGACCCAGACCTCGGGAGAGTTTTGTCGCGCGGCGCAGTCAACGTCGCGCCCCCCTTGGCGGCGAGGGAGAAAGGAGGAAAGGAGGGATAACGAGGCATGTAGAGAGAGGGGGACGCGAAAAGTGCGGGGGGGGCAGCAGCGGCAACAGCAGCCCTGCGGTTATCACCGCGCACGCGACAGAGCGAATTCTTACAAGAAGTGCCGGCGAACGAGCGGGGCGCCTTCCGTCGGCCCAGAGGCTCTCGACGCCTGAGGGGGAAGGGGGAGGAGGAGGAAGAAGAGGAGGAGGAGGAGGAGGAGGAGGGGACGGAGGAAAAGGAGGAGGAGGAGGAGGAGGGGACGGAGGAAAAGGAGGAGGAGGAGGAGGACGAGGAGGAAGAGGAGGAGGAGGAGGACGAGGAGGAGGAGGACGAGGAGGAGGAGGGGGAGGAGGAGGGAGGAGGGGGAGGAGGAAGGGGGGGGGCGAGCGGCCGCCCCCTTCCTTCCCACCCCCAGCGACGACGGCACGGACGGACGGACGCCGACGACGCAGACGCCGCGGGCGACGACAACGCCCGAGGCCAGAACCACGTCCGGCAACAGGGGGGGGCCAGTGTACAGGGGAGCCGCGACGACGCAGCGTTTCTAGGCCTCCCAGATTCGCTCGGAGGATCGCGCCGCATCGCCGATGCATCGACGATGCGGCTCGATGCGGAGCCCGATGCTCTCCACACCGACGTCGCCAATGCGTCGCCGACGTCGGCGATGCGTGGCCGATGTATCGCTTATACACTGGCGATGCGGCGCGATCCTCCGCGTCTCCAGTGGGGGCCAGTCCACAAGAAACCTTCACAAGAAACCCAACCCTTAGACCCCAGGACTTCCCACAGCAACACCATCGGACCCCAAGAAACCCAGGGCACCCTGGAGGCAAGCAGGGTGTTTCTTGGCATGGGCCCCCACTGTACTGGTCGCCCCATCTGCTCGGACCTCCGCATCTGCTGGTCACCCCCTCGCCCCTCTCGGCGCCCCGGCAGGGCGGCGGCAGCAGCGGCCCCGGCGGCGCGTTCAACGACGACTACGAGGGCGACTTCGACTCGCCAGCGATCCCGGCGCCTGCTGTCTCTCTCTCCGCCCCTCGGGCGTCGCGTATACGCTGGTCGTTGAGAGAAGTGAATGTTTGGATTCCCAAGATCCCAAACTGCTTCCAACGCCTTCTTGCTCCTCAAGAGTCGATATGTTTTCCTATGTGATGATATTCCAGTGATGGGCCTGAATCCGATCTACTTTATCCGTAAGGGCGTCGCCCCCTGCCGCCGGCCCCCTGTCTATCATATTTGGGTATATCAGAGTCGCGTCGGTGCGTCTCGACGCTGGCTTGGCGCATCTGGGAACATCATGCGGGGGCGGACAGGAATCATCAGCGCATATTGAGACGTTGGCGTTATCGAAGACGCCTACGGCGAATCACCGCCGCCCCCTGCCTTTTTGGAAGCGCCTATGTGGCCGAACGTTGAGGCCAGACCTGCCAAGCTATCGGACCACGTGTTCCCCGAATCGGTTTGGAAAGCCTTCGGGGAACACGTGGGCATCTTGAAGGTCATCTTGGCCGTCTTGGAGGCCTCTTGGGCAAGCTTTGGGCGATCTTTGGGGCTTTTTGGGCCGTCTCGGGCCAGCTTCGAGCCAACTTCGGCCATCTTGGTGGGTTCCTGGCACGTCTGAAGCCGTCGGAAGCCGTTTGGGGGGCCTCTATGGGCCGACTTGGGGCCCGCTTGGAATGCTCCAGGGCCGTCTTGGAGGCCATCTTGGGCGTCTGGGAGGCCATCTTGGGCGTGTTGGAGGCCTCTTGGGCCCTCTTGGGGCCCTCTAGGGGCCATCTTGGAGGCCACTTGGGCCATCATGGGGCTCTCTTGGGGGCCTCTTGGGCGATCTTGGGGGCTTCTTGGGCCGTCTTGAGCCGTCGGAGAGCCGAAAAGGCGCAAATGCCAAAATCCTTCAAAAACCAAGGGAAAATCAATGATTTTGGCCTCTTCGGACTCTCCTGGAGGACCTCTTGGAGGCCTCTTGGGCCGTCTGGGAGGCCTCTGGGGGGCCTCTTGGGCCGTCTTGGGCCGTCTTGGACTCTCTTGGGCCGTTTTGGAGGCCGTCTTGGACCATCTCGGGCGGACTTGGAGGCCATCTTGGGCCATCTTCGCGATTTTTTGAGGATGTCCCGAGCGAAACGGCCGTTTTTGGGCATTGACAGACGGACTTTCGGCAATTTACGCGTGGCCGGCGGGACGGGCCGAAGCCCATTGGGGAGTTCTTTTAGAAAAAAACCAAAACCAAAACCTGAAACATCCAGCACGCCGTGCACCCCTGCAAGCAGGGGGCGGCGGATCGAAGACGCCTACGGCGAATCACCGCCGCCCCCTGCCCTTTCGGAAGCGCCGATGCGGCCGACTGCTGTGGCCAGAGGTCTGCCAAGTTATTGGGCCATATGTTCCCCGAATCGGTCTTTACAGCCTTCGGGGAACACGTGGGGGAGGACGGGGAGGAGAGGAGAGATAGGAAGGGGGGGAATGGAGGAGGAGGTCTCTTGAGTGCCTTTTTGGCTACTCTGGGTTTATATTGGGCCACATGTGCGGTCTTGGAAGCATCTTGGAAGCATCTTGGGCCGTCATGGGGCCATCTTGGAGGCCTCTTGGGTGCTGTTGGGGCGATGTTGGGGACCTATTGGGCCGTCTTGGGCCGTCGGAGAGCTGAAAAGAAGAACATGCCAAAATCCTTGAGAAACCTAAGGAAAATCAATGATTTTAAACCTATTCGGGCCTTCCTGGAGGGCGTCTTGGAGGGCTCTTGGGCCGTCTTGGAGGCCTTTTGCGGGCCTTTTGGGCCGTCTTAGACCATCTTGAGGCCATCTTGGGCCGTCTTGGGTGCATCTTGGAGCCATCTTACCCGTCTTGGAGGCCATTTTGGCCGTCTTGGAGGCATCTTGGAGGCCATCTTGGGCCATCTTGGCCGTCTTGGAGGCCATCTTGGGCGTCTTGGAGGCCTCTTGGGCCGTCTTGAGGCCCTCTTGGGGCCTTCTTGGGGGCCTCTTGGGCCGTCATGGGGCCATCTTGGAGGCCTCTTGGGTGCTGTTGGGGCGATGTTGGGGACCTCATGGGCCGTCTGGGGCCGTCGGAGAGCTGAAAAGAAGAACATGCCAAAATCCTTGAAAAACCTAAGGAAAATCAATGATTTTAACCTATTCGGGCCTTCCTGGAGGGCGTCTTGGAGGGCTCTTGGGCCGTCTTGGAGGCCTTTTGCCGGCCTTTTGGGCCGTCTGAGACCATCTTGAGGCCATCTTGGACCGTCTTGGGTGCATCTTGGAGCCATCTTACCCGTCTTGGAGGCCATCTTGGCCGTCTTGGAGGCATCTTGGAGGCCATCTTGGGCCATCTTGGCCGTCTTGGAGGCCATCTTGGGCGTCTTGGAGCCTCTTGGGCCGTCTTGAGGCCCTCTTGGGGCCTTCTTGGGGGCCTCTTGGGCCGTCATGGGGCCATCTTGGAGGCCTCTTGGGTGCTGTTGGGGCGATGTTGGGGACCTCTTGGGCCGTCTTGGGCCGTCGGAGAGCTGAAAAGAAGAACATGCCAAAATCCTTGAAAAACCTAAGGACAATCAATGATTTTAACCTATTCGGGCCTTCCTGGAGGGCGTCTTGGAGGGCTCTTGGGCCGTCTTGGAGGCCTTTTGCTGGCCTTTTGGGCCGTCTTAGACCATCTTGAGGCCATCTTGGGCCGTCTTGGGTGCATCTTGAAGCCATCTTACCCGTTTTGGAGGCCATCTTGGCCGTCTTGGAAGCATTTTGGAGGCCATCTTGGCCGTCTTGGAGGCCATCTTGGGCCAAGTTGGGGCAACACAGGCATTGACAGATGGATTTTCGGAAACTTGCGGGTGGCCGGCGGGACGGGCCGAAGCCCACTGGGGAGTTCTTCTAGAAAAAGAACCAAAACCAAAACCTGAAACATCCAGCACGCCGTGCACCCCTGTGGCAAGACCACAGGGGGCGGCGGATCCTAGTGGCCTTCGGCCCATCCCGCCACCGTGCCTGGGTTGTGGGTCTGAGGTTTCTTGTATATAGGTGTTGGGGTGTCGTGGGGAGCCTTTCGGGGGCCTCTAGGAGAGGGTTTGGGCGCCTCTTGGGGGCCTCTGGGGGCCTCGTGGTGTATCTCTTGGGCCTCTTGGAGGCCTCTTCGGCGCGTCTTGGGGCATCTTGGCGGCCTCTGGGGCCCTCCTGGGGGCTTCTCGGGGCACAAATATCGAATGTTCCGTTCGTGGTCCCTTTCTTGGGCCCCTCTCGGGGCCGTCTTGGGGCCCTCTTGGGCCCTCTTGAGCGCTTCTTGGGCCATCTTGGAGCCCTCTTGGGCCGTATTGGGGCCCTCTTGGAGGCGTCTTGGGTTGTCTTGGGGCGGTCTTGAGAGCTTCTTGAGCCGTCTTGGAGCGTCGGAAAGCCGAAACTGCGAGAAGGCTACAAAAACCTTTTTGTAAAATCTACGATCCTGGTCTTTTGGGGCTCTCTCGGGAGGTCTCTTGGAGCGCTCTGGGGCCCGACTCTGGGGGCCTCTTTAGGCCCTCTTGGGCTGTCTTGGAACTAGCTTCGGGTGCCTTCGAGCACTCTTGGCCTCGGCAATGCGAATACGGTGTAATGTGCGAGGAAAGGTTTATAGCTTCGGGAAGGCGAATACTGTGCAATTGACTCGGGTCTGTTGCCTCTGGGACGCGCAAATTGTATGATTTACAAGGGTTTGGCCTCGGGGACGCGAGCATTGCGTAATTTACACTGGATAATGGCCTCGGGGGCGCGAATCTCCTGTATTTGTACGTGTCCCACGCCCCCCCTAGAATTCAGACAACGCGATCCGGGCGTGGTAACCAGGTGGTTCGGTGCTCCTCCCCTCGCGCGGACTTCAACAGGTATCAGTGGAAAACAGAAAGCAGGACTGTAACATTGAAGACTTGAAACTGCAACTGGCGCAGGGATCAGCACACTTCGACCTACAGCCTGGTGGCCCCACAAGGGGGCCGGCGGATCCGCCTGCCTATTACCTATTGTTATATTATCATTCCGACCCACGTGTAATGGGGGAGCAAAAGATTCTAGGCCTCTTAGATGAGGTCCGAGTAGATGGGGTCGGAGGATCGCGCTGCATCAACGATGCATCACCGAAGCTCCGCCGACGCCGCCGATGCATCGCCAGAGTATCGGCGATGCATCGCCGATGCTGCGTGGTCATCCGACCCCATCCACTCGGACCCCATCTAGGAGGCCTCCACAGATGGAGGGGGTGAAGGAAGGTGCACCGTTTGTGCCTAAAGGGAGCCCCTAAGCCCACAAGGGGCACAAAAGGTTCATGTTTCCCCCACCCACCCAGTTATCTCCCTCCCACTCAGCAATGCCCGAGCCCCGCGGGGTTGCAGGGAGGGCGAGGGGGGAGAGGGGGGCGAGGAGTGCAAGAGGGGCGAGGATAGCGAAATGGTGACGGCAAGGAGGAGGAGGAGGATGAGGAGGGGGGGGAGGAGGTGGAGGAGAAAAAGAGCGAGGCGGAGAAGGGTTAAGTTGGGCCTGTCCCTCTACAGGAGGAATATTCAAAGATAGTAAAATAATAGTCTTTGGACGATGTTTCAGTATTGATGTCCATTTGGGAGCATTTGTTCACTACTCTTATGTTCCATTCAAAATCTGCCTGTAGGAGGACATGCCCGACCTCTCTTCGCCCCGACGAGCCTCGAAGAACGGGCATAAGCTTAAGGCGGGCGTGTCCCTCTACAGGAGGAATATTCACGAGTAGTCAACAAATAGTCTGGGGAAGATGTTTTGAGTATGTTTTGGCTATATTTGAGCATTGTTTGACTATTTGTTTTTTCCTCCAAAATCCGCCTGTAGCGGGGCATACCCGACCTAATCATCAGCATAATTTGTTTGAGATCCGCGCGGATTCTTGGGTGGATCAGCACCTTGGTGCACTCCGCGCGCCGGGGGGGGGGGGTCAGTGCCGATCCAAGAAATCCGCGCTGGCCTCCAAGAGTGTATGTTTATGTGCTTTCCCCCGACCTTCCTCTGTTGCATTCTCGTTTTGAATGGGGCAATGTGGTCTCTTCGTTTTGGATAGAGCACTGTGGTATGCATCCTCCTTCTCCCCCTCCACCCTCTTCCTAGCTCCTGCCTCCTCCTCCCTTCTCCTCCTGCATCCTGCCTCCTTGCCTCCCTTGCTCGCGCCTTTCCTTGGGGGGCTGCGAACTCTGCAACTGTCTCCACTTCCGCGGGCTCCGGGGAGGCACGGTGGAGGTGAGGGCAGCGGGGATCAATTTGAGATTTCGCAGCTCCGTCGGGGGCTGCGGACTGCGCAACTGTCGCCACTTTCGTGGGCGCCTGGGAGGCACGGCGGAGGTGAGGGCAGGGGGCATCACTTTGAGGTCTCATCCGAACCCTTCACCACCTCTCGCGGAGCACGGTCGGGACGACGGAGGCCGTAGGGCAGTGGGCCGCGTGGAAGTGGGCGACGCCTCTCCAGTGGGCCACACCACGGAGGCTCCTGGATGCGTGGCTGGCCTGGGGCATCCAGGTGGGCGCGATCGAGGCCTCCCTTAGGTCGGTGGTGCACGTGGCTGATGCTGGGCAGTCGCCAGCCGCTGTCCGAGCCCCAGCCGCGCGACGGCGGCGTCAAGGGGCGGCGGGTGCCGAGACACGGGAGGAGCAGAGAAGAACGGGGAGGAGGGAGCGGGCGAGGAGCTGGCAGGGGTAACGCACGGGGCGCGTTGCCGCCGCCCTCGCCGCCCTCGCCGCCCTCGCCCCTCCTCCTCTGCCCTCCTCCTCCTCCTCCTCCTCCTCCTCCTCCTCCTCCTCCTCCTCCTCAGCCCTCCTCCTCCTCCTCCCCTCCTCCTCCTCCTCCTCCTCCTCCTCCTCCTCCCCTCCTCCTCCTCCTCCTCCTCCTCCTCCCCCTCCTCCTCCTCCTCCCCTCCTCCCTCCTCCCTCCTCCCCTCCTCCCTCCTCCTCCTCCTCTCCGCCGCCCCCGCCTCGCCGCCCTCCTCGTCGCGCTGTCGCCCTCCTCGCCGCCCTCGCGGCGGCGCCCCTGCGATGCCGCCAGGGGCTGCCGCCGATGCCGCCCGGGGCGGTGCTTCCGCTGTTCCCCGGGGCGCTGGGGCAGGCGGGCCTCGGGCCGTCCAGGCCCGGCGCGGCCTCTTGCCGCCCGCGCGGCGGCCTCAGGAGAAGGAGGAGGAGAGGAGGGAGGAGGGCGGAGGGCGGAGGGCGGAGGGCGGAGGAGGAGGAGGAGGAGGAGGAGGAGGAGGAGGAGGAGGAGGAGGAGGAGGAGGAGGAGCAGGGGGGAGGAGCAGGGGGGAGGAGGGCGGAGAAGGGAGGAGGGAGGATAACTGCATTGACCTTCGATGCAACTACGCCCGGTGTTTTTAATATTTGCGCGCGTTCACTCCCTCATCATCTTGGTCACCACAGCGTTTATCATCACTGATAGCATCATCATCGTCATCATCACCATCATCATCATCATCATCATCACCATCACCATCACCATCACCATCGCCAGCATCGTCATCTATAATGTCGTCGCCCTCGTCAGATTCACGCGTGCACACTTTCAATAACAATCACGAGCGCACGCCGTAATCATCATCAGCAGCAGCAGCATCATCAGCATACTCATCATCATCATCATCATCATCATCATCAGCATCAGCATCAGCAGCAGCAGCAGCAGCATCATCGTCATCTTCATCACCATCGTCGTCGCCGACATCGCCCTCACCGTCGCCATGAACATCACCATCATCATCTTCACCATCGCTGCCGTCGCACAATTGAGCGTTGGAGGTGGTCACGTTCGGACGCGGTCGAAAGTGGTCGTGCTGTATACGTAGACTGCGATACACGCAGTGGTCCACATAGATTGCACTTCGTAGGAGGCATTCCATATGTTGCGCCACATGTGTTGCACCACAGTTACATGTATGCAAGCGTGTACGCATACATGTTATCGAAGACGCCTACGGCGAATCATCGCCGCCCCCTGCCATTTTGGAAGCGCCTATGTGGCCGAACGTTGAGGCCAGACCTGTCAAGCTATCTGACCATGTGTTCCCCGAATCGGTTTGGAAAGTCTTCGGGAAACACGTGGGCATCTTGAAGGTCCGATTGGCCGTCGGGAGGCCATTTTGACCGTTGCGGGCCTTCCCGGAGGACGTCTTGGAGGGCTCTTGGGCCGTCTTGGAGGCCATCTTGAGCGTCATGCAGGCCTCTTGGGCCGCCTTGGGGGCCTCTTGGGGCCGTCGTGGGCCTCTTGGGCGATCTTTGGGGGCACTTAGGCCGTCTCGGGCCGTCGGAAGGCCGAAAACAGCAAATGCCACAATCCTTCAGCACGGGCCGTCGGAAGGCCGAAACAACTCATGGGAAATCAATGATTTTGGCATGGTCTGGCCCTTCTGCAGGCCCTCTTGGAGGCCTCTTGGGCCGTCTTGGGCCATCTTCGGGATATATTCTGCCGATCCTGGCCCGTCTGACGCCGTCGGAAGCCGTTTGGGGGGGCTCTTTGGGCCGACTTGGAGCCCTCTTGGAATGCTCCACTGCCGTCTTGGAGGCCATCTTGGGCGTCTGAAAGGCCTCCTGGGCCGTCTTAGGGGCCTCTTGGGGCCGTCTTGGGAGCCTCTTGGGCCGTTCCGGGGCCATCTTGGAGGCCTCTTGGGCGATCTTTGGGCTCTCGGGCCGTCTCGGGCCGTCGGAAGGCCGAAAAGAAGCAAATGTCAAAATCCTTCAAAAACCCTAGGAACATCAATGTTTTTTGTTTTTTCTGGCCTTCCTGGAGGCCCTCTTGGAGGCCTCTTGGGCCGTCTTGGGCCAGCTTCGAGCCAACTTCGGCCATCTTGGTGGGTTCCTGGACCGTCTGACGCCGTTGGGAGCTGTCTTGGGGGCCTCTCTGAACTGACTTGGGGCCCTCTTGGGGCGCTTCGGGGCCGTCTTGGAGGCCATCTTGGGCGTCTTGAAGCCTCTTGGCCCGTTTTGGGGCCCTCTTGGGGCCGTCTTCGTGGCATCTTGGGCCGTCATGGGGCCCTCTTGGAGGCCTCGTGGGCCATCTTTGGGCGATCTTGGCGGTATCTTGGGCCGTCTTGAGCCGTCGGAATGCCGAGAAGAGACAAATGCCAACATCCTTCAAAAACCTAGGGAAGATCTATGATTTGGGCCTCTTCGGGCCTTCCTGAAGCACCTCTTGGAGGCCTCTTGGGCCGTATTGAGGCCTCTCGGGCCGTCGTGGGCCATCGTGAGGCCATCTTACGCTATCTTGGGTACATATTGGGTCGTCTTGGAGGCATCGTGGAGCCATCTTAGCCGTCTTGGAGGCCAGCTTGGCCGTCTTGGATGCATCTTGGAGGCCATCTTGGGCCGTCTTGGACCCGTCTGGACCAGGAAAAACCCTTTGGAACCGGGTCGTGGCAACTTTTCGGCATCCTTCGGGTGGCCGGCGGGACGGGCCGAAGCCCCAGGGGGAGCTCTTTAGGAAAAGGAGCCAAAACCAAAACCGAGAGGATTCAGCACGCCAGGCACCCCTGTGGCAAGCACAGGGGGCGGCGGATCGAAGACGCCCACGGCGAATCACCGCCGCCTCCTGCCGTTTTGGAAGCGCCTATGTGGCCGAACGTTGAGGCCAGACCTGCCAAGCCATCGGACCATGTGTTCCCCGAATCGGTTTGGAAAGCCTTCGGGGAACAAGTGGGCATCTTCAAGGTCATCTTGGCCGCCTGGTGGCCATTTTGACCCTTGCGGGCCTTCTTGGAGGATGTCTTGGAGGGCTCTTGGGCCGTCTTGGAGGCCGTCTTGGGGGCCTCTTTGGGGCCGTCTTGGGCCTCTTGGGCGATCTTTGGGGGCACTTAGGCCGTCTCGGGCCGTCGGAAGGCTGAAAAACAGCAAATTACTCACTGCGTGGAGCTCCCCATATGTGCATCTATTCGTATGGACCTGTCCGCCGTGAATGTCTAGGCGCAAGAGCTTTCGAATATACACGGGCTTCAGTTGTGACGGTCAGGACATAAATCTAACTGCGAATGAATTGGAGTGTGAATGAGCCTCAGTAGTACGAGCGCGTCTTTGTGCATGAGCCTCGGGCCTCCTGGGGCCTCCTGAAACCTACTGGGGCTTCCTGGGGTCTCCAGGAGCCTCTTGGGGCCTCCTGGGACCTCCTAGGGAGGTTTCGTGCCCCAGGAGAGGCGCAATCTATAGCAACAGACGTACATAAACCATTGCGGATTCGTGCCACAGGAGAAGGGCAATCTATAGGAACACGCGTCAAACACAAAGGACTCGTGCCCCAGGAGAGGCCCAATATATATATATATATATATATATATAGGAACATTAGTAAAATATGTAGGATTGTGTACACAGGAGAAGGACAATCTATAGAAACATACGTAAAACATCAAAAGACTCGTGCTCCAGGTGAGGCCCAATCGATAGGAGCATACGTAAAACACATGGGATTGGAGCCACTCCTGTTGCCTTCTGAAGCCTCCTGCTCCTGGGGCCTCTCGGGGCCTCCTGTTGCCTTCCGAGGCCTCCTGGCGCTTCCTGTTGCCTCCTGGGGCCTCCTGTGGTTTCCTGAGGCCGTCTGGAGCTTCCTGGGGCCTCCTGGAGCCTCTTGGGACATCCTGTGGCCTCTTGAGTCTTTCTGTGGCCTCCTGATGCCTCCTGGGACCTCATGTGGTCTCCTGGGGCCTCCTGGAGCCTGTTGGAGCCTCCTGTGGCATCCTGAGAAGAATCTGCGCCCACGAGCCTGGCCACCAAAACAAGCAAACCGATCGAGACATCCTCAAAATCTGGCCCACCTGGGGGGTGAAAATGAGCGCCTCGCTCGAGACATCCTCCAAATCTGCTCCGAAAGCGAAGGATGCTGGCACAGAAAACAGGCAAACCGCTCGAGACATCCCCACAAAATTCCGCGAACGGGACCCCGTGAAATACCCCCCCGCCGCCCCCCTTAGAGTGCTGAGACGAGCGAATCGCCTGAGACATCCTCCAAATCTGCTCCGAAAACGAAACATGTTGGATCAGAAAATGGCCAAACCGCCTGAAACATCCCCACAAAATTCCGCGAACGGGACCCCGTGAAATACCCCCCCGCCGCCCCCCTTAGATTGCTGAGACGAGCGAATCGCCTGAGTCTGAGTGATGACTGAGTCTGAGTGATGAGAGAGCATGAGTGAGTCTGAGTGATGAGTGAATCTGAGTGGTGAGTCTGAGTGATGAGTGGTGGGTGTGGTGTTCTGTCCTGTTCTGTTCTGTGTCCTTCCGGCGCGGTCCGCCAATAACAAGAACCCCATCTTTGGATATGGGGAACAAGAAGTGCATCTATTCGCATGGACCTGTCCGCCGTGAATGTCTAGGCGCAAGAGCTTTCGAATATACACGGGCTTCAGTTGTGACGGTCAGGACATAAATCTAACTGCGAATGAATTGGAGTGTGAATGAGCCTCAGTAGTACAAGCGCGTCTTTGTGCATGAGCCTCGGGCCTCCTGGGGCCTCCTGAAACCTACTGGGGCTTCCTGGGGTCTCCAGGAGCCTCTTGGGGCCTCCTGGGACCTCCTAGGGAGGTTTCGTGCCCCAGGAGAGGCGCAATATATAGCAACAGACGTACATAAACCATTGCGGATTCGTGCCACAGGAGAAGGGCAATCTATAGGAACACGCGTCAAACACAAAGGACTCGTGCCCCAGGAGAGGCCCAATATATATATATATATATATGTATATATATAGGAACATTAGTAAAATATGTAGGATTGTGTACACAGGAGAAGGACAATCTATAGAAACATACGTAAACATCAAAAGACTCGTGCTCCAGGTGAGGCCCAATCGATAGGAGCATACGTAAAACACATGGGATTGGAGCCACTCCTGTTGCCTTCTGAGGCCTCCTGCTCCTGGGGCCTCTCGGGGCCTCCTGTTGCCTTCCGAGGCCTCAAGCCTCTCCTGTGGGCTCCTGGGTGGCCTTCTCCTGAGGCCTCCTGGCGCTTCCTGTTGCCTCGTGGGGCCTCCTGTGGTTTCCTGAGGCCGTCCGGAGCTTCCTGGGGCCTCCTGGAGCCTCTTGGGACATCCTGTGGCCTCTTGAGTCTTTCTGTGGCCTCCTGATGCCTCCTGGGACCTCATGATGTCTCCTGGG